TAGGGTTTAGGGTTGAGGGTTGAGGGTTTAGGTAGAAGTCGCTCATGCTCTGTGCTGAACTTCCTTTACGACGTTTCCTGCTGCCAGCAAAAGCCCGCTGGCTATGAAACTTTGCTGTTCTCCGCTGCATCATTCTTGACGGTTTTGGGACCTCAAGTTTACTGATCCCTAAGCCCTAAACCCTAAACCCTAAGCCCTAAACCCTAAGCCCTAAGCCCTAAACCCTAAGTGAATCTACATTTTGCAAAACACCAACCTGTACCGTTTGCAGCTGCAGGGCGGCGCCGAACCCTAAGCTCTGAAGACTCATTAATATTCATATTTTTACAAAACATTATTTGTGATAAATATAAGTTGCTTATGAAGTGTGGGATCTTTTCACCTTTGGGCCAAAAGAGCGACACTGGGCCTGAGACTCAGAAGTGTTGAGGGTTTGGTATGTGGGCAGAACAGCAGAGGAGGTCGTAAGTTTTAGGGTTTAGGGTTTAGGGTTTCGGGTTTAGGGTTTCGGGTTTAGGGTTTGGGGTTTAGGGTTTGGGGTCTGGGGGCCTTGCGAGATCTCCCCAATGGTCGTCGAGAGCGCAGGAACCCTTCCGTGGTCGAGTGCTGCGGTGCGCCCAGGGTCAAGCCGAGGTTTAGGGTTTAGGGTTTAGGGTTTAGGCTTTAGGCTTTAGGGTTTAGGGTTTCGGGTTTAGGGTTTAGGGTTACACGATTAAGACTCGTACCCCTGAGGTTGTAACCCTAAAGGTTCCCCCCAATATGCTCTTAAGGATCTTTAAAAGGGGTCCCCTAGATACAGAATGTTTTTGGGAGTTCAGGGTCTAGGTGTAGGACAAGAAGGGGGTTTTGGATGTGTGCATGGTTCAGGCCTGGCAAAGGAAAGATCGTCGCCACACATATGTCCTCACGCACTGGGGATTGGGGACACCCAAAAAGGCACTCGTGCTGACGCTGCCCAAGTTGCCCCGGGTTCCTTGGCATCCCATCCCCTACACCTTAAACCGCCCGCGCACTCACAAAACCCAAAACCCAAAACCCAAAACCCTAAACCCTAGACCCTAAACCCTAGACCCTAAACCCTAAACCCTAAACCCTAAACCCTGAACACACGCAGGTGCAGGCAGAACGCGAAGAATGGGCTTCCTGCTGCTCTTCGACAGGTGCAGTAGGCTTAGCCCCAAGAACCACGGATCCTCCTGCAACTTGAGAGAGCTGTTTGGGGATTAAGTAGAGGGTTTGGGGTTTAGGGTTTAGGGTTTAGGGTTCAGGGAGGCTTAGGGTCATGTTGACAGGATGGGTGGCAAGTGGAGCCTAGGCAATGCTGTCCCTGCTGCACCATGGGCTGGGACTATCGCCTACCCTATACGTTCCTTAACCCTAAAGGATGGACATTTCCTTATTTGGTGGTACATATTTTCCTTTCCCGACGCTACAGACTTAGTGTAGGTAAAGATCCTGAACCTTTGAGGGGAGTAATAAAGGGGTCGGAAGAACTACGACTAGGTGCGGGTTTAGGGTTTAAGGTTTAACTATCTTCCTTAGTGTGTTCTTGGGCCCGTGCGCCGGAACATCGCATCCCGAGAAGCGTCGCAGAGACGGGTCCTCCTGAGAGGCGTAAGGCGGGGCTCCAAAATACTAAGCACTGCCTAGCACGTGTAGGGTTTCGGGTTTAGGGTTTAGGGTTTTGGGTTTAGGGTTTCGGCTCAGGGTTCAGGGTTTAGGGTTTCGGCTCAGGGTTCAGGGTTTAGGGTTTAGGGAATGGCTTTGAACAAGGTTTCCGGGCTTCTAGGGCTTGGGCTTACTGAGGGAATTCCCTATAGATACCCTTTAAGGGGTCATATGGGGTACCTCATTCCCCCATTCCCTACCAACCAACACAGTAAGTAGGGAGACTAGCGGAGACCTGTTTCAGCGAGCGTTCGATGTCGCGAGATCTGGGGCGGGTGGCCTGCCTTGAGGTGGAGTCGAATGAGCCTAGAAAGTGGTTTAGGGTTTAGGGTTTAGGGTTTAGGGTTTAGGTCCTCAGCGGGCCCTTCCCTCTCAACGTCAGTGCTCAGGAGATTTGGCAACAAGCCCCCTTAACCACCTGAACGCCAGCGTCCGAATTCCTCCATGCCTGAACCCCAAGCCTTAAGACCTAAACTAACCCAATACTCCGTAACCTGAAGCCAAAGACCTAACCGAGAACAGTACTGAGAATTGAGAATAGTCGTTAAGATTGTTGTTGGTTCTGCGGATGAGAAATGTCACGCGCTCTTTTGGCTTTGTATTTGTTCTGTTTATCGGCTCTTTGCACCACCGCTTTCTTTCATGTGCTTACAGATGGTTTCCCCTAAGCCCTAAACCCTAAAACCTTAAAACCCCCCGAAGCCCGAACAAGCCAGGCGTCGTGCGTCGTTTTCTTTCTTCAACCCTGGGTTGCTACGCAGTTGTTTGAACAGCTGTTTTTGGGATGCACCCCCTTGGACTAAGAGTTCCTTAGTAGGGATTATAGTACCTTCTGGAGCTGGGGAGGCAGGGATGAGATGCTAAATGTAGATACCATGATGACCACAACCATGTCGGAAGGCAAAGGAGGAGTGTTGCGGCTCTGGTTCTTCGCCTTTACTCTTTGGTCGTGTGCCGCCAAAATTCCTTGTAGCCATGTGGCAGTCCGTGATCCTGTGAATGAATCATGTTCACATTCCACGAACAAGTCTACAAGAAGCAGAAAGTACCCGATGCGCAAAGTCCATATTATGTTCCAAAG